ACACATTCAATAAAATATATTAACTTACAAATATATATAGTTTATGACAATGATCAAAATCATTGAGGGATTGTTGAGTATTTTCAATTATGATTGATAAATGAGTATATAATCCATCAATTTCTCATAAACCTAGATAGAGAATATACTCAAGAGACTACAAAGATTAACAGTAAGATGTTATTTAAAACATTTATTTTCCTTTTGAAGATAGCATGACACTAAGATAAGTTGTTTTTTAAACATAAAACGTAATTGGTCCGACTAGCGGTTGGTGGATCTATACATTGGCGGATCCGCCATTTCGATTCTTAGTTAAGTCATCTTATTTTATTTGATAAGATGACTTAAATTGAATTCATTTTATTTAAAATTTATGTTTATCATCTTGAAGTTGTGTGTAAACAAAAACTAGACCGAACTAAGAATGGAAAATATATTATTGAAATGAAAATGCGTTCTTGAATTATAAAATAAATTGTCACCAGCTACAACTTTAATTGAATTACAAAGCATCCCAGCATCGATACCAAGCAATAACCATGGGCGTAGCTAGGATTTTGTTTAAGTTGGTTCTGAAATGAAAATTTTAAAAAGTAAGGTTAGCGAGGAACCAAGTACTGCAGAGATGATCAATCCGAGATAGACTACAAATGGAAGACCAACGGAGATGGTCGTCTACAATTGGAGGTTAATCGAGACTAATTGCGGTGGTGGGTGAGAGTTTGCGACAGAGTTTGGTTTCGGAGGAGAAGCTGAAAGTGAGTTAGGGATTGTGAATTAGGAATAAACAATTAGATGTATGTTTTACTTGTGTGTCTAATATTAGTTCACGTATACTATAATACAGTGTGAAGTAAAGTTAAATATAATTCCAAGAGTTGTTGTAGCCTACCGGTAAGTGACTGAAACTCTCTGCCAGGTGATGTTGTGCTCGATTCCCCACTCGAGCATTTGATTGGTTGCTTATTTTTTAGCTTCTAGCCAAGATCCAACGCAAGTGAGACCGGAGGAGGAGATGAAAATGGAGGAGGAGATTACGGGAATTACTATTCTATGTTGGGCGATTACTAACATGTTATGTGTTTCATCTTTATCATTTCAAGTGTTGTGTGTAACCGTTAAGTTTTATCATTATCAAGTGTTGTGTGTAAACTCTGAGTTGTATCATTTGAACTATTATGTGTGTAAACCCAACTTAGGCCAATTATTTTTTGCCCAAAAAAATCGGTCTCGGAATTTGAAAAATTCTATTGGAAAATTTTTATTTTAAAAATGATGACGAACTATACAAAAATTAACATGAACAAATTATATTAAGATGATAATGAGTACATTTTTAAGTAAACAAAAACTAGAAAAAAGGAAAGATCCCCAAATTTGGGGATGGTAGTATTGGAGCCAAATTGAAGAAAATGGTGGCAATCCCCAAATTTGGGGACCTGCATTGAAGTTGGCCTAAACAGTTAGGAGCAGAGGAAGAGTGTAACAGGAATTCGGGACTTGCTTCGGGCTCGGAGGGAAATGTATAAATAAGATATAATAGTTAGTTGAGAATAAATATTAGATTGCATGTAACTGAGAAGTCTTGTGTTAGAATTTTGGTGACCTCATTTGATAAGCACATGATATTCATATTTGTGCAAACTTCAAGCATAAATAAGTTCGCTTTCTTTTGACGGTGTATATTAGTGAATCATATAAGATCTCTTGTTGAACATCTTCCGACAACTCGAGTTATTGCACTGAACGATTCTTGACAACGAAGACCATTCGAAAACAAACAACTAAATAATCATAAATAATTTTTTGACATAAAATCCATTATTGAACATCTCCCAACAGCTCGAGTTATGATACTAACCCGTTCTTGACAAAGAACATCATTCGAAAGCAAAGCACTAACTAAATAATGAATAGTTATTTGGTACACAAAGAGTAGCTTATTTGATAGTTTCAACTACTATGTATTTTAATTTATATATTTTTTTTCAAATATAAGGTTATATGACGAAAGCAAAGCACTAACTAATCATGTGTATTTTTTCTATGTAGACCCTTTCTTATCGGGTTTGGGATAGGGTCAGTAACCACTGGTTACTGACCTATCAGTAACCACACGGGAGCCATAGATCTGGGGGATGAAGCAATCGTGTGGTTGGCTGGACGTTGGGGTGGGAAGGGGCATTTTTGTCCGTTTTTGTATTTTTAATTTTTATTTATTTATTCCGTATTTCAATGGTTGACTTTTCAATAAAAGAGAGAGAATGACATTTTCTCTGCAACTCTACTTTCTTCCTTCTCTCTTCCTTTTTCCCAATCTCTTTCCAGATCTTTTCTCTTTCTCTATTCCTTCTTTCTTACATTTTCTCTCACAATCTCTTTTTCAAATCTAGATCTGCTCTCTTCCATCTTCATTTTTTTTTTCTCTAGCAATCGATGAATAAAAATTGAAGTCACACTCTTTAATTGCGTTTCTTCTCTTCATCAACTCGTTGGCTTTAATTTCGATCTTTCTCATTTTTTTGGCGTTTGGTGTTCTTTGGTTGCGGATGAAATGAGATGAGATAGAAGACAAGTTTTTTTCTCTCCCTCCTTTTGTTTTTTCCCCTTTCTTTTAGGTACTATATATTGGTATTACCACACTATACCATATGGTATTATGTGGTAAACAAAATATATATTGGTATTACCACTCTATACCATATGGTATTTTGTGTTAACGAAATATATATTGATATTACCACACTATACCATATGGTATTATGTGGTAACAAAATATATATATATTGGTATTACCACTCTATACCATATAGTATTGTGTGTTAACGAAATATATATTGATATTACCACACTATACCATATGGTATTGGGTGGTAACGAAATATATATTGGTATTACCACCCAATACCATATGGTATTACCACTCTATACCATATGGTATTGGGTGGTAACGAAATATATATTGATATTACCACACTATACCATATGGTATTGGGTGGTAACGAAATATATATTCATGTGGGAAAAATTTTCATACCATATGGTATGCTCTTATTTAATACCAGTCAATACCATATGGTATATACTGGTAATAACTGACAAATTTTTTTCGTGTCCAAAAAATATAAAAGTGGATATCATTTTGAAGAGCACAATTAATCTGATGTAACTGTGCAAAAAAATTAAATTTCGACTTAAAACGAGTGAGAAATAGTTCGTTAAAGATTAAGGGAAGGAAAATTAAATGTTTTGCGAGGAGAGAGAAGGAGGCGCTGATGTTGTCCGGTCAAAAGTCAGCATCAGCAATAAATAGGAGTGAGTGCAATTTTACCGTACTGCCCTTTTCACATTTAATTTAAATAAAAAAGTGACTGACATGTGGACCAGGGAAGGAGTTACTGATGGATTACTGACCCGATCCGGACCCTTCTTATCGAAACCCTATCTATGCTCCTGTACCCGTCACTATAGCCATGCCAAATTAGGTTAGTTAGAGAGTTTTCCACCAACGTCACCCATAATCCCACTGAAAAAATTGGAAACTTTCCTCTCTCTACCTTTCCCTTTTTGAAAGAAGCTCTGCCTTCTCTCTTGTTCCAGCCTTCCGTTTCTGAATCCGGGGGCTGCCGCCGGCTCCTTTTAGGTGACCGGCGGTAGCCCAAATCTTTTTTATTTTCCTGCTTTTGTTTCCTTTTCATGCTTTGGTGCTCTTGCCTGTTTTCGGGGCAGTTTTCAATCGGATTTCCAGCCTCTCTGGCTTTCAGTTTTCTCCTTTCCAGTCGAGCTATGACTCTTCTTTCAAATCTTGGATATTTGTTCTTGGGCTTGCTCGTCGTAGGAGCTGGAGTCTGCAACTTGGGAGCCTCTTCCAGATCTGGATGGTGGGTTTGCCTCCCGTTGGTGGCCTCATCTTCAAGGTGAAGCCATTCCCTTCTTTCCCTCTCCGACCTCCTTAGGTGTCTGAGTGGCTTGGTGAGCGGTCGGATGGTGGTGGGTTGGGTCTTCTACGGTGGTTGCAGTTGAAATTCGGTGTTTTCGTGGAGGTTTGTGGCTACCTTGGGAGCTTCTGCTTTTCTTCGAACCTGATCTCTCTGCCTCAGCCTCCTCAACTTGGAGCAATATGGTTATATCCTCTTCCACCGCCATGCAGTCTAGTTTCTAGATTCACTGTGATGGATGCCTTTGAGTTTTCCCCAGGAGGCGGCACATGGAGTGATGATTTTCAACTACCAATTCGATATGATCAGACAAGCTGATTTTGGTTTTGTTGCACTTTGATTGGTTGTTTGCAAGAGAGATTCTTGATGATCTGTTTTTGGTCAAGGGTTTTGCTCTTTCCAGATGGTTGCTTGCAGAGTGTGTTTTATTCTCTGTTGCTACATCTTGTCTTTCATAGATTTGTTTGTAACCGGATGCCTTTGGGCTTCCTCTTGTTGGAACCAGATTGTTGGTTTGTTCTCCCTCTTTGTAACCGATCAATTTGAAGTGCAATAAAATCCCCTTTGTAAAACAAAAAAAAACGTCACCTATAACCTGCCTAGCTAGTGATAAAGCAGAATTTACTATTTAGAATGGCCTTTTTTTTTGTTAGAATGACCAATGGATAAAATTAAGAAACTGCACCAGGGTGAATTTACACGTTTGATTTAATTAGATTGTTTTACGTTTGGCATCAATAGTGATAGGACCTGCTGCCGATGTGGAGCGCGTACGAAGGGGATCTGTTTGTGTTGTTTGAGATGGCAGTGTACAGGTTGGGTGAGGTATTGAGGCTGAGCCCTGAGGATTGGTAGCCGGCGGCAACAGAGATTGGTCGCCGGCGGTAGTGAGCAAGGAACATCATTGGAGTCAACAACAACTAGCTGCTTTAACCACATCATGACGACCTCTCACACCCATATTCAGTCGTCCAAACAACCCCTAATCACTCGATTAGGACAATGCAAAGGATATAATTGGACAAAAAAATCGTCAATTCCAATATTAAAGAAGGTATAGGGAAGCAGGGAACGCAAAGGGAAGAAACAAGAACAAGAATAAATAGGCAGGCAGCAATGAATACTGAATATGAATGAAGAAAGAGAGATGGATTCTTGGTAAACTGGGGAGAGAAGAAAGAACAGAAGAAACAGAGCAAACATTGTCCTCTGTGGACCATTGATTTCCCATCTTACATTTCAAACCAAAACAACAAAAGGAACAGTTTTGGCCCACTGAATCACTGACCACCATAATCCTTCCTTTCATTGATTGATCTTTATACCTTAGTACTTAGTAGAATAAAGATTCCCACCTCTCTATGCTTCTTTCTTCTTCATCTTTACCATGAGTCTTCTTGTTCTTCAGATCTGCCTCCTTTCTTCTGTGTCACTCCTGTTGCTGCCTGAGGCTACTGGATTGTCATCATCATCCGAATTCCGAAGGTCGAAAGCCGAGTACTACCGCAGCCCAGATTGCTTGGGCACATCAAGTAACAGAAAAGCAACATTCTTCCTTCCTTTTCTTTCTTTTTGGTTTCTGGCATAGGTTATATAACAGGATGGGTTGGTTTATGTAGCTGGAGCTTGTGGTTATGGCATCCATGGAAGCACCATCAACAATGCTCTGGTGGCTGGAGTTTCTGGGCTATGGAATAACGGGATCGGCTGTGGAGCTTGCTACCAGGTAAGAACCTTTCTGAAATCTGAGCTTGCTACCAGGTAAGACTGCATGATTTAAGAATGATTAAGCTGTAGAGTTGATGAAATGATGGATAATCGGTTTGATAATAAGAAAATGAATGAGTGAGTTGTTCCAAGTCAGATGGAATACGTATGTTTCAGCTTTTAAGTCAGCTGAAACAAACACACGGAATTTATGATATGATCATTCATCATCACCAGGTGAGATGCAAGGTTGATAACCTATGCAAAGAGGAAGGGATAACGGTGGTGGTGACCGACAATGCCTCAGGAGGCGATGTCGATTTCATTCTCAGCGCACATGCCTACGGAAGCATGGCTCATCCCAACAATACTGCCGAGCTATTCTGGAAAGGGGTGGTGGACATCGAGTATCGACGTACAAAGTGCCAGTTCCCAGGCTACAACCTCATATTCAAGGTTGTGGAGCAGAGCCACTACCCTCACTACTTGGCCATAGCCCCTATGTTCCACGGTGGGGAAAAAGATATCTTTGGTCTGGAAATTAGTCCGGTAAGCTATAATTCTCGACTGATTTCCTTTTTCATGAAGCGACATTTAGCCCACAAGTTACTGTAGTCACTGAAATTCAGTCCCTTCTGTTCGAGTCTCTGAAGCAAAACCATATATTTCATGTTTAAGCCACTGCAGTTAAGTGCTGAACTAACACCATCAAGTCAATCTAATACCATAACATTGGGTCCTAACAATGCAGTAGTTCATGAAGTTCACATGCAACATTACTAAATTTTGGTTTTGTATATGCAGGAGGGTAATGAGGAATGGAAGAGTATGAACAAGGCGTGGGGTGGAGTTTGGGACTTGCCTAATCCGCCATCAGGTGCTCTTAAAGTAAAGGTCAAAGTTGGGACTAGCAATGGGGAGCAGAAATGGGTAGAAGCAAATAAGGCCTTACCGAGTTCGTGGAAGCCTGGTGCTGGCTATGATTCCCACGTCAAGCTTGCTTGAAAGATCCTCCATGATTATTATGAGTGAAAAATGCCTCTATTTGCTAGATATCCTGAGTGATCCATGAAAAGAAAACTCAGTTGTGATTGAAAATGTTTACTGCTATGTTGCTACATGCAAGCAGATGAATAAAGCTGGTAGTAGTGAAAAGAGCAGACGAGAAACTAATCAAGAGATTGTAACTCCCACCCATATAGGCAATGCCATCAGTAGTGACATAGGATGATATCTAAGATAAGGTAAAGTTCGTTATCGTACAAACGGACGAGAGAATAACACGAAACACAGATTATACTTAGAATAAATTTATTACTGTTTTATTTTCATCATGCTGCCGTTTGGCTTCCTGACTTGCCTATTTATAAGGTAAACAGGAAAGAAAAAGGCAGTTATGGTCGAAGAGACACACCCCTTCGCCCAAAATATACATCCCTTCACAAAGGAATAACTGTCTCATTAAGAGACTTATTGCTGCTACTATATGACTAGAGATATTAAGGCTTCTGTATCAAGAAGGCTCCCAAAGATCCAGATTATGCAAGTATCTGGAGAACATCCTAAGTTTTGGATACAGGACATCTTCACTATTGCAACACGTCATGCTGGCAGGCTCAACACTATGAATTCGGGTCGAAATGAATATCAAGAAAAAGAAAGGTACATATAATGAGATTCAAATAACAAAGGGATCCGCGTTGCCTCGAGAAGACCTAACCTACATTTAAACTCTATGCTGCTAGCAAAGAAGTGCGACGAAAAAGAGTAACTCTTTGTCGCAATCACATGAAAAATATTTTGACAAGTAATAACTAATAAGCGTAGAAGTTTAAGTCAAGCAAACTAAAATCCGCAGAGTCATTTTGACATCTAACTGGTATAAAAAAAAGGGGGCTACAATTTCAGTTCTACACAATGCCAGAGACCATCATAAACATACATGCTGCTACTTTCATGATCAATTAAGTAGAACAGAGAGTAACAGCCAATAGAGATATCAACAGCATGGACTGTTAAACATCTAAGATACTCGGCCATAAACATGTAGAACACTGAGAACATTGACTTCACGGTGCCCATAGATCATCAAAATTTTCTGACTACGGAGTAAAAAAATACAAAACTTCATCGCATCAACTTACATTTACTGAGCTAGAAAAATCCGGCAGCTGCTACTTTCAGAATCCATAACATATCGGCCTTAATACATCCGACCCGTGCACTCTGCAGAACCACAGTAGCAGTTCTTCCTCTTGATGTTGCCATGCGAATCACAAACTTGATCTATCTGATAGTTGTAGTGGTAAGTCAACTCTCTCAAAGGAGGAATGTTCTCAGCAGCAAAGAACATTATATGAGGAATCTTCCGATTCCCATGATCATAGAGCACATTCTGGGCATAAAGATTAGGGGAGCAACTATGGTTGATGAACCTCCCCACATTACCAAACTCTGCAGCATCAATTGTGAAGTTAGAGTCCTGCGCATCTTCTTCATCACTATGCCCACCGATATCAAACAGATACTCATCATTAGTCCTTCGTTCGGCCTCGTTATCTTCAAGAAGTTCTCCAACATACTCACAAATGAAACTCCCGGAAGAAATCGAGTTCAAGGATCGAACACCCCAACCCCTCGAATGCGTCTTGAAAATCTCGAGCTGGAATTTAATTCCGTGCTGACTGGCTCTATTGAAGCAAGAAGGCGGACACTTGCATGAAGGGCCACACTCATAGACAAGATCCTTCGCTTCAACAATTGCTCCATTATGGTTGTATGGAATATGATCATCGTTCTTCGCCACACAAGAGCACGAACCTGACTCAGTGCACCCATTTCTACAGTTGCAACCACTGGGAGGGGTGAGGTTTTTCGGATATATCATCCGAGTGATGTACTTAAATGCTGGTGGCTTCTCATCGTCTATTGTGTTCACGGCACATATAGGAATCAACTCTTTCCCTTGAGATATATCACCCACACACAAGCCCTCCCGGACTTTGGATTTTTTAGACTTCTTCACCTGTTTCCAAGCTAACTCTGGTTGACCCGGAACTCGAACCATCCGAAACTTGAAAACTAGCTTACCATGTGGTCCTGGCTCTTGCCAATACTTCTCCACGGTGTATAAACCATCATATACATAAACCTTCGACATTTTCATTTCTGCACGAATCACTCTTACAGGATTCTTTGCCTTAATGCTATTCTTCAAAGCAAGATTACCTTTTTCAAGCTTCTGATCTTCAGCTTCCTTATCTTTAGTCTTTCCACCATGACCTGTGTAATCTAATATATCTGAGCTATCTAAGTTATCCTCATATCCACCTGATGCTACAATGCTTACTGCTAACAAATCTTGACCTTGTTGCATACAATCGATACCGGCTTGAGTCTGGCGATGAAAACCAATAATGTTAAGCTCCATTCGGTACAGAAACTCATCACCAACTTCAACTCCTGGAAAAGCTCCAATTATACGCTGGCCTTCATTGAGGCACATTCCTCTATTTTTCAGCTCTTTGGCAGCAATACAGTCGACCCGTTTGAGATTTTTTCTTTGGCTGGGGTTTATTTCTGCTTCATGCACCAACTTCCTACAAATAATATGGAATAAGCGTAATACTTCCCTCACCTTCTTTCTTGCACTGTTGGAGCCTTTGGAAGTGGTAGTGCCAAAAGGAGTCAGATTCACACTTAAATTAGTTTTCCTCCTAACTAATTGGGAACCAACACATTTCTCATTTTCCTTTGTGTCATCTAGTTCATCATCCCCCCTAGAAAATTCATGTCTTGTGGGTTTAGATGATGGTTTGACCTTCACCGAGGTAACCGATTTTCTTTGTTCTTGTGTTGTAGCTTGTTTTTTAGTATTATTGTTCCTTTCACTTCCATCACTAAGTAAGTTATCTACCTTGATCAAAGAATTGGCAGTCGAGGCCATAAGACCTACCACCACCGCCCTTTCTGATGCAACATTGAGACCAACAAACTCCTCAGAGACAGTAAGCTTTTTGCTGTGTCTTTCGGCAGCAACCTTTGCCTTACAAACAACAGATTCTGGCTGCAAGAGCCCCTTCAGTTCTTCTTTGTTATCAGACTTATGGACTACCTTAGACTTTTCCCCAATCTGATAATGTGACCTAATGCCTCTATCAGGTCCACATTCTTGATCAACCCTTGCAACATTCCCAGAACAAATTTCGACTTCATCACCACTCTTCGTTGCTTTCTCACTAGAATATTTCACGTGAACCTTAACATGCTTCTGTTCTGGGACATTGCTTTCAGACCTGCCCCTGTGAGCTCCACCATCCATACTAACATCTTTGACCTCTTCCACAGCACCTAATTTCTCTTGTTCTTGCTTACTAGGAGGTTTAGCATTTCTTCCACAGTTTGGTGGGAAGTGTCTAACAGCTGACACTTTTCTCCTAGGAGGATATTTATGCATGGAAGTTTCTTTCAAGGGACCAGTAACATCTGCCTTGGAAGAATGTTGTAGCGAACCAATAATCTCACAGTTTGAAACTTCTCCTTGTTCATTCACCGCTGCCGCATTCCATGATTCTGATAGTGAAGTACCAACAGATTCCGGCATATCTGCTAAGCATCCATTCGTATAGTCAGGTGACACTGCTGGACTCTTTAACTCTGACTTGACAGTATCCATTTCCCCAAGAATATCTGTCTCATACAAATTTTCAGACACTCTTAAATCACGGGATTCGATCTTAGCCACAGGATGTCCAATGAAACCACAACAATCATCAGGAACAACACTGGTGCAGCTCTCCAAGCGCACTGGATTTATAACACTAGAACTAGAAACTCCCAAGTTACTATCTGGTTCTAAATCCAGAGCTTCCACATTAGTTGCAGAAAGTCCAAAACCGGAGTCATCATCTCCATTGCTAAGACTAGAGACTGCTGCTGACCCATCTGGTCTAGAACGACTACAAGGCCCACAATTTGGGGGGTAATGCCTAACACACCAAACCCTCGGCGGCTTAAACTTACCCCGACCACCACCACCACCATCACCATCGTCATGACCACTGCCGCCACCGCGGGAAGCACTGCTGCCGGAAGATGAAACCACTTTCGTCGATTTCGCTTGCATCATGTTGTCCACAAACCCCATTTCTGAAGCTTACCCACAAAAACACTTCCCACGGCCAGCCCTAAAACGACCTAACAGAAAATGAAACCAAAAAGATCATGAATGAACAAAAATCATTTCTCGACCATTTTCTGATAAGAAATTGAATCAAGCGTCACTTCAGAAAAACTCTGGCCCAGCTGAAGTGACATTCATGCAAGCAGGAAATGAGCAGAAATCGCAATCGAAAACCACCAAATGCGAAGATCAAAATGGAGAGAGTCGATCAAAATGGAGAAGCAGAGGAGAAGGAGCAAAAAGCTAACCTGATGGCGAGAAGGTAATGTGATAGTGCGAGGCGACGAAGAAAGGTGTGAAGCAGTTTAGGTAGAGACATGGCGAAGAAGAGAGGAGTTTTTGGAAAGGACCTTGGATTTTGTGAATTTTATGTTGTCTGGATTTTCTAGACATGAGGAGTTACAGGCCACATGGATAAGAGATATAAATAAATGAAATTAGGCTTGGAGCAAGATTGAAATATCTGGGGCTCGGTCGGTAACCGGTTTAATTGGATACCGATTAATCCGTTATCGGTATACTGAATCATGTGAATGACTTTCGACTACCGGTATCGAGAGTCAGTCGGTTTACCAAATACCGAATATCTGGTTACCGGTTAGCAATCCAGTTACCCGACTTCTTTCGCACTCCCGCTGTTGCACTTCAATCTTTCGCTTCTTCTCCGCTTTAATCCATTTCCAGATTTCTCTCTCTTAATTAGGGTCCTCTGCTTTCGGGAATAAATCTCATTCACTCAAACCTACTCTAATTGTCACACACAAGCATAAAAAAAGGAAGAAATCCAACAAAAAAGATGTAATTCAATCAGCAACGGGAGTTGGATTGGGACCAACAACTATCTCATAGACTTCCGTGGCGACGCGGTAGCCAACCGAGGCGCCGACGGAGAGGAGCTGGCCGATCGAGGAGACGACGGAGCTGGAAGGCGACGTATGGTGCCAGATATGGACATTCAGTGGTCGAAATCGAAGAAGCAGATGGCACCAGATCTGGACATGTAGTGGCAAAAATCAAAGAAGCATATTGCGCTAGATCTGGGCATTTAGTGGTCTAGGTTGAACATGATGAAGAATCGCCTGAATCGGACAAGGACTTACGAAACCTCGTCGGCTCGTCGCTCTCTCCCAAATTGGAGCAACTCGGCCTTCAACCAGAGGCCATCGATGGCACCTTTCTCCGGTGAGTGGTGGACGGGTGTCTAGCTTATAGTTTAAATGAACTATGGATACTAAAATTTATTGTTTGGAAACCATAAAAGAATGCATGGATTATAGTTTAAATGAACTATGAATACTAAAATCTCACCAAAAAGGTAAGATTCACGATACATTATTTTCTATGTATTAGGATTACGATATAGATTATGAATACATGCATTCTATTATTACATCAAATTAAAAAATTGTTGTATTCTATCGGATACCTGTATATTGAGAATACAACGTTTGTAATCGAAGGTTCCAAACGAGGCCAAGAATGTGTGGTTTTGAAAATTAATTATTTGAAAATCATAAAAGAATGCATGGATTATAGTTTAAATGAACTATGGATACTAAAATCTCACAAAAAAGGTAAGATTCACTATACATAATTTTCTATGTATTAGGAATACAACATGGATTATGAATACATGCATTCTGTTATTACATCAAGCAAAAAACATTGTATTCTACCAGATACATGTATAGTGAGAATACAACGTATGTAATCGGAGGTTCCAAACGTGGCCTTAGCATATTTCTGAATAGATCAAGTTCTTAGGTCTATCACACTTGTGAGCCTACCCAAGTTATTTTTGTTGGGCTTTGTCTGTTCTTGTTTTTACAATAATCCTGCACTGTTCTGAATTCAAATATATGAGTTTCTAGAAGGAACAGTTCATTCCTCGTCTGAGAATTTTAAGCTGCCATTTTTGTGAAGCAAATTGGTGAATCGTCGAATATTTCCGACGAGAGGAGTAGAATTATCATATGTGTAAAAGATACAAATGAAATTGGGATTTGAGTTTAGCATTATTTTCAAATAGGACCAATTATTTTGGGTTGGCACACTTGTGGGCCTACTCAAACTGTAATCCTTGGACCTTGCATATTCTTCTTTTTAAAAATCCTGATAGTTCTCAATTCGAAGAGAGGATTTTTGGAAAGGAACGGTTTGGACTCGCGCTATCATTATACTTAATACCAATTATAGGCCAAGTGCAACCTATAAAGGGTGTATGATAGGGTAAGTATTTCAATATCAATCCGGCCGGTCTATTTACCCTTATTTCAATTGTTCACAGGTTACCTAGCAATCGGACTGTAGTTAAAGCTAATAAGGACTAAACAAATAAACAAGCGAGGAAAATTTTGATGAGTTCGATTGAGAAAGAATCACTAGGATATTGCTCCCTTAGTCTCGTTCCAAGATACAACGAACAAACTCTAGAGTGATAAGTAGGATCATATATAGGTAGGAGATCACAGTTAGCTAGGGAAACCCCCTACTCTCTCAACTGATCGATTAAGGATTGTCACGATTAACTAGGAAACCCTAAGCCTCTTAATCGATCGACCAAAGTTTACAAAATCACTATCTCGAAAAGTAATCTGGAATGGCGAAAAGTAACCAATCAAGACGATAGCATGGCACTAATTCCATGAATAATACATCAAACATTATATTAATCACAAATCCAACAAACATAGAGTTTGGTTCCTATAATTTAACACATCCTAAACTAGGGTTCACAACATCCAAGTGAAATTGGAGACTACTCCATAGCTAGAGATGAAAATACATATAAGAGAGAAGAAAAACTCATACAAAGATGATCTTCCTTCTTCTTAGATGTTTGATTCAACATTTGGAGAAGAAATCAACCTTCCTCTATCCTTGGGTAGGTGAAATTATCCTTCCTTCTTCCTTGGCTCGTAGCTCTCTTTCTCTAAACCTTGAAGAAGAAGCTCCAATCTCTCTCTAGGACTCTCTCTTTTGAATTTAGCTAACTCTTCCTTTTATAGTCCCCGAGTGCAAGAATCACGGTATGAGATCACGCCCGTGAATTCGGCAAGGGAACCGTGATCTCGGCGCAAAATGCGTCGTTTCACTTACGAACTTCATGGGCTGGTGGTTGACATCACGGTATGAGACCGTGATCTTGACGTTGCCCGCTTGCCATACAAATCTTCCTAGAACCTTGCTCCATTTTCCGCAACCGTGATCTCTGCACATTCAGCCCTTTTGCTCCATTTTCTCCGTTGACTCATTCCGAATACCACAATAAATTCCCGCCTAAGGTGCAGTATAGGATAAGTATGTTTAAATATCAACCCGAGTCGGTCCGTCTACCCTTACTTCGGTCATTTTAATCATTATCTAGCAACAAAGTTTTGGTTTAAAAGTTTGCTAATTACAATAAAATAAGGCAAACGTAAATGGTTTTGAAAACTCTTTTGTGGAAGGATCACTCGGGTGTCGCTTCCCCCTAACTATTACAATGGTATGTGAATTGGAACGATTGCTTTGGGCAAGGTAACAGCGAACCGCAGAGGGATGCATATATGGTCAAAGACCACAATCTCAATTGCTAAACGGAGGTAAACAATATAGGCCGTGTCACTCGACCCTCTCGGTTTAGGAAATCAGTAGTTGACTTACTCCCTCACTCAAGTCAAGGGTCAGACGGCTTAATCGCGATTAACCAATTTGCTTAATTCAACATTGAGGTTTGCCCTAAATTAACCTAGTTAGGTGGCTTAAAAAGCTAAAGGAAAACCAACTCGATTGAGTCTCCCTTGGAAGGGGGATTTTCCTCTCTTAGCTAGATTAAAGTGGCTAATTAGATTGCTAGCACCAACATGCACAAACCTAAGGATGCTAAGCATAATTCTGCACAATCCTTAGGTTGCTAAGCACCAAAATGCACAAACCTAAGGATGCTAAGCACAAAACATGCACTACCCTTAGGCTGCTAAGCACAAGCATGCACAATCAACGTGGATAATACCTCAATCATTGAATTAACCAATACCTAATGAAGATCATTCAATTCACATAAAAGAAACTGCATGGTAGAGTTAGGGTTTCACAACACCCAAGTGAAAGGAAATCTACTCAATGCTAGAAATAGAAAAAACACAAGGAGAAGAGGTAGAAACCATCTTGGAGGATGCTCCCAATCTTCTTGGCCCTTGTGTTGAACTTTCCTTGGAGGAAATCTTCCCAAAATCCACCTTGAAGCAAAACCCTAGCCTTCTCCTCCTTTGGTTCCTGTTTCTCTCTCTAGAAATTTGAAGAAGGCTTTTCACACAAATGGGCTCTCCCCTCTCTCCTCCTTTTAGCTCATCTTTTAAACCAGAGACGAGCTCAGTTTACGGCCTGAGTTCACCGCCATGAACCATGAAACGCGTCCGTGAACTACAGATGAACGTCAAAACACACCTCTTTGTTCACATCCGTTCACGGTCGACGACCTTAGTTCACGATCTTAGTGACCGTGAACTCACCTTGCGTTAGTAACTTATGTTTTGGCTCCGGACGCCTCGAGGTTCACGGTCAATGGCTCTTTTTCACGGTCGTGGAAGACTGTGAACTTCCTGGGATAGCCGTGAACTGGCCCTTTTCCACCTCTTCTCCCGGTTTTCGATCCTTTTCGTCCTACTTTCGACTCCGAGGCTGGTTTCACATGTTAAATCCTGAAACACACTAAAAAATGAGAAACCTAGTGTAAAAAAACCCTTTTAGGAGCGAAGTTACCATAAACCACTAAGGAAAACGGGGGCAAAACATGTACAATTAGGCCTGAATCACTCCTCCACACTTAGACGTTTGCTTGTCCCCAAGCAAACCATTTCACATAAGGTAATATTTCAATCTACACAAATACTGTGGGGACAACTCAAAGGGAACAAAGTGGGAATTCTCAATGGCTATTGGCAATCAATACATGGACCATTGCAAGCAATACCGACATCCAC